AGCTCTCAGATTGTGCCGGGGCCTCCTCTGATATGTTTTGAGAGTCGCTTTCGGAAGACATGTTCTTAAGGGGGTTCTAGACGAAGGCTCAAAACACTAGATCTAAGGAATGGGAAGCAAAATATACTAAGGAGATCAAGAGCAGGCGAGGAACTAACCTTAAAAGCTCGTTTTGATCAGAGGAAAGGCTTTCTCTCTCTAGAAAATTTTCGCCAGAGCTTCGCTAACAATGAAACGCACAAGAGAATTGAGGTCTGGCCTTGGGGTATTTATAGGCAACTGGGCCTCGAGAACTGGGCTTCGATTCAAGGCCCATCATTACGGGCCGCCGGTTCGACCAATGGATGCCTCCCGCCCACCTTCAACCAACGAGGACACGCCACGTCAACTCCTCTTCCAACGGCTATATTACAACGACTATATTTCGGCAGCAGTGGGAGACCCTCGAATGATAGCCTCCGGCTATCACTCATCACAAGCTTTCTGCCAGCAAATCTCACCAAGCACCTTCGAGCCTACAGCAGCGTAATCCTTCAGCTTATTCATATTGTCATCCCTTCGGGGGCTCATCGACTCGTCATAACTCCTTCAGCCCGAACTCGCCTTCGGCCTAAAGGAGTGGGGGATTGGGATACGCCCCTCGGGAATCACACTGAACAAAGTTCTCACATAGCAAAAACTTACAAGTGACATGCAAGTGACACATGAAGCCTTCGAGCAAACATTACAGGGGAACCCCTCGGGCACATAACTCAATATACCCTTCGACAACAGCGAAATATCAAAAGTTTCCCACAAGCCACTTGTGTCAATGAAGCAGCCCTCATCACGACACATGCAGACAATACATCTATGCTTTCCTCAGAAAACCCTCGATGTGTGAGGGACTGAAGGAAGCCTTCGGCAATCAGCAGAAGGCAAGTCCTCAAGCAAAGGCGCCCAACCAAATGATGGAGCCTCCAGAAGGATCGACACATCTACTCCTTTTCCCTCGAGTACCTCTCGGCAAAAGGAGTGAGGGACTCCTGATGGAGTATATGGCCCAGGAGCCCCCGGCCCATAGACTCCTATTTCTCCTGCACAAGTCCATTGGGCCCAGAGAACAACTCAGGCCCAAAGGCGGCGGCCCAAGCCTCAAAATAGCCCAGAATACACACTGGGGTGCCTTCGGCCTCCTTGGCCGAAGGCTCCAAAACTCACGGGATAGCCTTCTCTGACATAAGAAGCTACTGGGAGAAAACGGCGGAAAACATGAGCCTTCGGCATTACCGAGCCCTCGGCATCAGGGAAGCCTTCGGCTGAACCTAGCCTTGGTCACACGGAGCCCTCGGCTACACAAGGAGCCTTCGGCTAACTGCTCAATCATCGAAGATTCCCTTTGGAGACAAGCAACCACCGCATTTAATGCGACGTCACATCCACCAACCGCATTCAATGCGGTGAACATGCCACTGTCGGTGCCACCCGATTGATGTGACCCTTCGGCCGTTGGATTACTGACACGTGTACACTCATCGCATTTATTGCTGCTATAAATAGCAGCCCTTATTCTCCTTGTAAACCACGCTGAGTTCATTTAATAAAATCGACTCTCTCTCCTCCTATTTACTCTGACTTCTCTCTAGTTATTCCCGCAATAACCCCCCGGATAGGATACCCACCGGGTAGACTATCCATCACTTACTATTGGTGTAATGCTTTTCTTTTTGTTTGAGAAAAATAAGTAGCCAAAATCTGCTACTAGCTTCAGCTAAAAGAATTATTAAATACTCCCTCCGTCCCGTTAAGAAGTTCACGGTTTGACTTACGCACATATTAAGGAAATAAACTTATCAGATGGTAAATTTTATTGTTTCGACACTATTTCGACACTGTTTGACACCGTTTCGACACTGTTTTGCACTGTTTGGCACTGTTTTGATGTAGATATCTCTCCATTTAAGGGATCGAACTTCTTTTTGGTACTGATAAAAAAGGAAAACGAGAACTTCTTAGCGGGACAAAAGGAGTATGACATTATTAATAATAATTATAAATGAAAAGAAAGAAGTTATAACTAATCATTGGAGTACATTTTAATTTTGCGTGTATGTCATTAGTCAAACTATGAAGGTAATCATTGGGATGTTCTGATCATTTTTATTAGGTAGGAACTTATTTGACAAATTTGTCGTTAAAATTACAGAGTTTGGTAAAAACTTTCATCAGATTTTGTAGACTCGATAACGTTCTTGCTCCGGAGTCCGGACGATTTTTGCAAGGTTAAAAGCAGATTAGGTTGACCTTGATGGCTTGCCGGCGACCGGCACGTGTCGCGCGGATCTGGTGGCAAAATAACGCACACATGTCATTCCATTTTCCTCTTGCTACGTTTTATTGGGCCAATTTCAATCGGCCCATCCGTACCCAGTACCCGAATTTAAATAGGTTGTTGTTTGTTACGAAGTACTACCTCTGTAACTTAAAAACCTTCCCATTTCAAAAGTAGATAGATTAAGAATAGTGAAAAAGGGTATAAATTATTGAGGGTATGATGAGAAGATAGTGGAATAATGTGATGGAATGTAGGATAAATCCAAAAAAAGTAGTTGTAATAGTGTATTATTTTCAGAATTATTGAGGGTATGATGGGAGGATTTAGAAATGAGAAGATTTTTTTGTTACGGACGAAAAAGGAAAGTGGGAAGATTTTTATGTTACGGAGGTAGTACATCAATTCTCTGAAACTCCTCCGTCTTATCTTCGCCGGCGAACTTGGTGATTCTGTTATTCATTTCTGTTTTAATCTGACAAAATTTAGTATTCCCTCCGTCCCATCCCATTTTCCCTTTTCGGGAAGTCTCACTAAGATTGTCCATACCAAATTAGGTAAAGTTTGTGTGGCTCGAAATCATTCTTACTTTATTTTTACTTTTTTAATTCAATATCAACCACATAAACTCACTTTTCTTAATAACCGTGTCATCTTCTTCCATCCCAATGTTAATGGGACGGAGGTAGTAATACTTTATATAACCGATAAAAGCGCGCTGGAATCTCTTCGCTTCGCTTGATTGCCGCGCTATGGAAACCCTCTAAATGAACGGATCATCCCGATCGTCTTATGCTATTAACGCAGTCAATTATTGCTAGTGCGGAATCAACTGCAAAAGCTTCAAACATTTTTTCTCGTATTCGATGATTGCTTAAGATCTTCTGTCGTGAATTGGCCTCCTACATTTTTCGCAGGAGAAAATTATAAAAGGATCACATACATGTTTTTCTCTAAATAGGACTAACCTTATCTTTTTTATTCCTAATTCTATTTAATTAAATGATTGATCTTAATAATTGCCCCCTAGTTTCCTTGCACAACCAAGACAGTCCGTCAGTGCCGGCAGCACCCCGACAGCCGATCGGCGGTGGATTCCGGCGGCGGCGGTGAACTCTGGCAATTAATTAACCCAATTAATTGCCCCCTAGTTCTCTTGCACAACCAAGGCAGTCCGTTGGTAGCGGGGCAGTCCGGTGGTGGCAACAGCTTGGCGGCGGCAGATTCTGGCGGCGGCGACGAACTTAGGCAATTAATTAACCCAATTAATTGCCCCCCTAGTTCGCTTGCACAACCAAGGCAGTCCGTTGGTAGCGGGGCAGTCCGGCAGATTCCGGCGGCGGCGGCAGATTCCGGCGGCGGCGGCAGATTCCGGCGGCAGAAGTGTTGGCAGAAGTCCAGGAAAAAAATTCTGGAATTTTTTCTGACGGTGGTTGCCGGAGCTCCGGCGGTGGCCGGCGGCAGGCAGCAGGCAGCACTCCAGGGCTAGCAATGGGGGTATTATTGTCCAATCACACATAAAAAGTTCTATTTAAGAATGTTTAAACTAATTGATCCTATTTTGAGAAACATGATACTACCTCCGTCCCTTAAAACTTTGTCAAAGTTGACCGGCACGGGAAATAATAAAATAAAAATTGTGTGGTTGAGATTTGTGCAGAGGAGGGAGAAATAACAGAAACCACAAAATATTGATTAAAAAGGAAAGTGACAAAGCTTTTTGGGACGTCCCAAATAAGAAAAATGACAAAGATTTAAGGGACGGAGGGAGTATGTTTTGCTTCTATTAAGGTAAATCTCCCTTTTCGCAATACGCCACGCTAATTCTGGTGTAAAAGGGAATTTGGCGGCCAAATATCTTTGATTGTGCGATTAATGGTTTTAGTTAATACTTCCCCCGTTCTTTTTTAATTGCAACATTCTCTTTTTCACGCTTACCAATGCACAACTTTGACCGTCATCAAATTTTATTCTCTATTAGTAAAAAACTTTTAAAAATTAGATTATGAAACTTCGTAATGACACTGCACGAATTCAACAATATTTTTCAAAAAAAATAATTCACATACATTAATAAATAAAATATAGTCAAAGTAGAGTACATGAATAGTGTGTAAATTCCAATGTTGCAATTATTATGATAGGGAGGATAGTACATTTTTAGGGTCTGTTTTTCTGCAACAAATTTCATTTTCCTCATGATCTTGATGAGCCAGATCTCAGAATGGCGGTTTTTTTTATATGTGTTCATCGTGTGCTGTAATCCGGTGAAGAAATGCTCTACTTGCTTTCTAATTCGATTTTTTCATGAAATTTTAACCAACTCTTCATTTGCGACGGTAATTATCTTAGGTATGACTAAAACTTGATCAATTTCGCAATCTATGACCAACATAGTTTTTTTACCAAAATAATATAAAAAATCATACTACCTCCGTCCCCCTAAGTTTGGGACAAGAGAATGTGACACGGTTATTAATAAAAGTGAGTTTATGTGATTGATAATGAATTGATAAAATAAGAATAAAGTATGAAAGATTTAGAACCACACAAATTTTACCAAATAAGGTATGAGACAATCTTTGTGGGACGGACCGAAAAGGTAAAATGAGACAATCATAGTGGGACGGAGGGAGTAATATTTTATTAAAATTCGTAATTATTAATAATTAATTAAATAATTTAGGTGGACAAATATACCATTTACATTAAATCTATAAAACCTTAAGCTCCTACTTTTTTCTCCAAACCATAGCCTCCATTCTCCCACCTCCATAGATCCGCCCGCAGCCGCCGGCATCCCATGGCCCGCCGGCCCATGGCCCGCCGTCGGTCGCCGTCCCATGGCCTGCCGTCTATCGTCGCTACATGGCCTGCCTCCTGCCGCCGTCCAGGAGCACGATTGCCGCAACCAGTCGCTTGATTGCCCGACCACCCCCAGCCCCACGCCTGCTTGCCGCAGCCACCGCCCAGAGCGACACCACCAGTCCCCACCGTCGTCCCTAGACATGTGAGTCGCGCCGTCCTGATCCATGCGCACCACCACCATCATGATCCATGCAATCTGTTGTTCAGCCCGCCTCTATCCATGCGATTCGCCATTGGAGTGTTAACAAAACCTAGCAAGGAGGGAGGGGGCGAGTGCGGCGTAGGTTATGTGAAAGGTTCTAGCAATTCGATATGGGCCTCTTACGTGAAAGGTGGAGATAGGTTTGTGGACATTTGTTGGACTCGGAGAAGGATTTGCTTTTTTTTTGCTACTAGGTGGCCCTCCATTTTCATTTTTTCTTTTCTATTTTTGAAATTAGGAGTTACTAAAATTAGGGTTTCTGGGCATTAAATATGCGCAGTGAATATGGGCAATGAAAATCATAATAGATATTGTTGAGCATTCTAAGCCAATGTAGGGTTCGTGCGCATTAAACATGGGCATTGAACATTGGCAGTGAACATGACAATAAGTGTTGAGTACGACAGTGAATATGACACTATATATATATATGTTGTACGTTGCAGTGAATGCATTAAGAAAGTTTCTTGTGCAGTGATTATGACCGGTAGTCCAGTAACACAGACTAATAATTTCGCCATGAAACGCAATATACTTAATTAGACGTAAAATAATAAAATTATTAAATCTAAAAAAATAAAAAATAAAAACTATAAATAATTTACTAAAGTGAATGAGAAAAAATTAATTTTGACGGAAGTGCAGTGATTATTACGGGACGTGCGGTAATGTCATGCAATAATATTGTGCAGTGATGGCAATATAAAGTGCATTAATTTTAATTGGACGAAAATAGTGCAAAATGCACATATTTTGAATAAGGGTATTTTCGTCATTCAACAATTAGATATAAATGAAATATTCTTTTTTTTTATTTTCGATCATACAAATGTCAAAAAACTAATTAGTCATAAATTGAGAAACTCAATGAGTTTTAATCATATCCCGGAAAATTTCCCTTTTCTTTTTTACCCAATAAGAGTCAATTATTGCCTTGACGTATTCATTAACTTGACCTTGACCAGTAATTTATGAAAAATATGATTCCTAAAATTAGGGGTGTAAAAATAGCTTTGATGAAGAAATTTGTCTAACGCAATATTCTTTAAATAGAAATATTCTTTAAATAGGAGTAAAAAAAATTGAAATTTCAAAATAGGATTGTCATGTTGTTATTCTCTAAATTTGAGTAATTTTCATCAAGTTTGGCATTACCAAACTTTAAACATGACAGTTTTTTCCAAACTTAACATAAATTAATTCTATTTAGAGAATAAAAACATGAAGGTCCAATTTTGAAATATCAAAACGTATTTACTCCTATTAGTGAGTTAATTCATTAGATTACCTAGTTATTAATGCATGATTAGGGCTGGGTCCGAAAAACCGAAAACCGAATCGAATTAAACCGAACCGCTAAAAAACCGAAACCGAATGTAAAAAACGAACCGAACCGAAGTTGTTTGGTTCGATTTTAGTTTTTACCCTTCAAAACCGAACCGAACCGAACAAACCGAACTATTTAAAATATGAAATTTATATGTTAATTGTTAAACATTAATTCTAATCTACTTTAGTACTAATAAAGTGGAGTCATCTAAATTGAAATTGATTTCTACTTAAATTGCAATTGAGTACAATTATTAGAATTGATAATTATTAGATTTAACCCATAATTATTTATAATTTAAATGAAGTGAGCGAGATATTTAAATATAAATTGTTGTTAACCACGCACATGGGTGAATCACAAGAAACAATTTATAAGAAATGGGTTGCCCAGCTGATTTTTAGATAACGGTTAGAGATAAACATGGAAAACACCCTTAATGATTTTATTTTTCGTATGAGATAAATATGGAACACACCCTTATCATATTATAATTTATGAAGGTTGCATAAAAACGTACTTCTTATATACAATTTTGAGTGTCATTTCAAACTTAATTTTTTTTAACCATTTGATCAATTTAAGGAGCTTATTTGTTTTAGTTATTAGTATTAATTATTTATATATAACTTTTCGATTTTAAAATTTGATTAATATAGACAAATTAACATTTTCAAAAGCACAAAAAAGGAACATTTAAGATTAAAGACATTATTATAAATAAAGTTATTTATATTCAATCCAATCTTTGAAGTCTCATAAAAATAATACTCCCTCCGTCCCATTTAAAGGTTCCCGTGACAAAATGACATGATTATTAAAACAATAATTAATTATGCTAATTCGAGTATGTTTTGAGAAATAATTTTGATGAGTATATAGTATAATGGGTTATTGATGATAACTGTGATTTTATAAATGTATTTTTTTAGTATTTGATGACTAAATTATCATTTAAGAGTGTTAATTGTTTCCTAAAATAGAAAGTGGGAACCTATAAGATACTCCATATGAAGATAAGCGGAGAATTTTCTCTCTCATATGCAATTGATTCATAATTGGGCGAGAAAATTTTCTCTTTTATATATAGTGTTTTTAGGTATAAGAAGATAAACGAACTAATAATTGAGCAGAAAATTTCTCTCTCATATGTAGTGCTTTTAGATACGGAGTATAAGACAAGTGACCTAATAGTTGAGCATGAGAATTTTCTATCTCATATGAAGTGTTTTTAAGTATAAGAAGATAAGCGGACTAATAATTGAGCGAATTAAATTTCTCTCTCACACGTAATGCTTTTAGCTATATGAAGATAAGCGTTCTTATAATTAAGAAAAATAATGTTCTCTCTCATATTTAGGGCTTTTAAGTATAATATAAGATAATCGGACTAAAAATTGAGCGGAATAATTTCTCTATCATATATAGTGCTTTTAGATATAAGATAAGCAGACTAATAATTGATCGGGGGAATTTCCCCTCTCATCTCTCTCTCTCTCTCTCTCTCTCATGACCTCTTAAACTTATGAGAAGCCATTTTCCTATAATTGTCACCTATGTTATGATAATCAATAAATACCAAGCTCTATCACTGTAAAAAATTGAAATATTCCTACCTAGACGCTTTACAGCTTTATATATATGGCGTTATTTTTTTATCGTTAAACCAACAAATATATTAAATCAACAAAACGTTCGTCATTTGGCTGACAATACAATCAAAGAAAAATTAAAGCAGGAAACAAAATGAGAAAAAGCCTTTTGTCTGTCGTCTGCCCTTGAACCAAACTTAGAATTCTCATCACCTGCCTAAATTCTATAAACTTTCTACTAAGAAATAAGAACACACCCAAAATAATATGCAATTCGAAAGAAAAACACAAACAAAATAAAACGGAATTAAACCAGAATTCATTCATCTTCTTCCAAACCCTAGACTCTCTTGCACTCCATGGTGGCGGCTTGGGAGGGGAACGAGCCAGCCGTTCATCCGCCTCAATAGTCATGCTTTTGTATTGATTGACGATATCCTCCATTGATATCACTTGCTGCTTAATTGAATCCAAGCATCCTGGTCACGAGCCAGCTTGCACGACCAAAATCCAGCGACGGTCGCTCTTCATCAATGACGAAAGCGGAAGAACAAATCCCTAGAGAGGGAGATACCGCCTTTTTTATGACTTATATGTATGTGGCGTCATTGAGAGTTTAGAAAACACGAATTAATGATTTCAATATATAATAAGAAAAGAAAATCTTTAGACATTATCATTAAAAGTTCTCTTTAAAGTACTTTTTAAAAACTCTAACAATTAAGTTTAATATTTCATTATCCGTTACCAACAACAATAATAATTATTACGTAACAAATTCTAATAGATCGTGTCGATTTTTTTTTTTACTTTAGTTTTCTTTCACTTCGAATATTTGTTGTACAGATTTATAGTTTTTTATATTCACTTATTGTACCCCATTCTTTAAATGATGTAAAATTGTAAAAAAACTACTTTTATTTATAATCAGATCGTGAATAAAAATACGAGAGATATTCACTTATTGTACCCCAACTGTTTTTTCTCGTGCGTATGCACGAGTACTGTGTTAGGGAAAGTCAAATTCCCACTCCTACAAACTCCTCCAGATGACCTACATGGTATATTCAATGGAATACATGCACGATTCTAAAACAATTCTAAAAATATTAGGTGGTATAATATGATGTTCACATTCACCTAACTTGCTGGAAGAGTTGACAAGACCATCGATACTGATAGAGCTCCGTACGTGTTCAAAATTCATGGACAAAATTATCAACAAATTGGTAGTTTAATGCCTTTGTCTGAATCTACTCCGTAGTTTGCGCAACTGTACATTTATGAGATTGACAACGAAGTAACGAATAAGATGAATACAATAAAGTAATACTCTCTCAACTCATTCTTTCTTATAACAGATATAATTTAAATACTAATATATTTTTCCTTAGGGTGTTTGATACTCGAAATGGTAAACAAATGCGCTTAGTTCAATCCAAGACATGCTGGATACGCATAATGAATTTGCAAAAAAGACATTTGGCATGGCAAGAGACATATTCAGACATGCTCCAGATGCACAAGCGAGGACAAAGCTTATAACAAACGTGAAAAGACGGGAGAAGGTACAATCTACCATGTGCCTCGGAAGCTGCGGCTCTTATTGTTCGTGATTTTGAAGGAGACATTAATCCCATTGACATCATAATACAAACAAAAGAAAGAGTCCTACAGAGGATCAATGAAGCACACCCATCTTACATGGTTTTGAAGTATCCATTGCTATTCTCTTATGATGAGAATGGATATAGGCCAGACATCAAGTACAGATCACAAAGAGATGAGCACAGCTGGTAAAAGGGAATAATTAAGAATGCGTGAATTCTTCGCATATAAGCTTCAATCAAGGGAATGTGAGTTACAGTACAATCCTTAAATCAAGGAGACCTCTTCGGTAGTTCATTGTTGATGCTTCTACAATGATTGGATATAGGAAAGACTCTAATGTCTAAGAAACAACTAGGTGAAACTGAGATCTAATATATACAAAGGTCTGGTAGATGCAGTTGTAAGGGGAGAAACAAACCCACATGCCCAAGGCAAACGAATAATATTACCGTCTTCATTTACCGGCGGAGCAAGGTACATGATTCAGACCTATCAGGATGCGATGACCATTGTTCTTAACTGTGG